CTTCTCCCTCTGACCCTCTTCCCTCTCGTGCTCTCTATCTCTCATTCTCTCTCTTTCAAATAAATAAATAAAATCTTTTTAAAAAAATCAGTATAATACCACCAATGACATTAAGCATGTTGCACAACAGAGAACTGACCTACCCACTAACTATGAATAGAGACGTGACCTATTCATTCCATTGAACAAACATCATAGAGCACCTATATATTAGCCGATAGGAAGGCCCAGTTGTAAAAAGATGAATGAATTTGCATTCAAAGTGCCTGTAATTAGAAGGGAGGGCTGGGAATAAGAGACCTGAGCCAATTTTTAGAGCAGATGAAGCTCCACATGAAGGAGCAAAATCCAATAAGTAACAAGTAAGTAACTTGGTCTACCTTGGAAGGAAGCTGCAGGACTGAGGCGAAGGAGTTCAGTAAAAGGCATAGCACAAAGATAGTATCAAAATAAAACATCAGGTTAGCAATTGCAAGGATAAATATAATACCAGCAGCTATTGCCCAACAAAACTCCTTAAGAGTTTTGTGAAGCAAAAGCTCACAGTTGACTGAAGTCAGGCATTGTGTTAAAAGGGAAAGAGCTGTCTCCACCCAATCCTCTCATTAACTAGACCAGGTAGGAATTACTCTCATCTGCATTTCTACTGATAAGGTGATGGAAGCCTAAAGAGGTCAAGAACTTGCTCAAGGTTCACAGTTAATAAATGGTTGACTTTGACCCTAACCTCTCAGCTAGTTGGAGACTCAGTAAAAGAATAAAAAAAGTCAAGCATAATTTGATTTACCATTAAAATAACTAGCTGATGTGGTCTATTCTGTAAAACAAATTAGTCAATTCACTGGGGAAAGAAAATCAGCCAAACGGATTGCTTGGCATCGTGTGGCCCAATTAGTTAATAAACTGAACTGCTCCCTTGTAGGGAGCCAAGTCTACCACAGATACAAAGGCGGTGAAAAAAGGAAGGATTTTGGCCCCAGCCTGGCTCAGATTTTGAAGGGGACAGACCCAGCAGGTGACCTTGGGCAAGGCACTTAGGTACTCTGAGGCTCAGAACCCTCCTCAGTAAAA